CCATTTTCAGTTGGATTTCCTGCAGCAGCCAGGGAGGTTTGGGAGCCCTTTGTTCTCCTCCCAGCGCCTCGAGGTGAGATTGGATTTAATTCCCAAATATTCTCAATAAATTCCATTTTTAAATTTATTTTCATTTTTATTTTGGAATGCATTTTAATTTTTTTACTATTTTTATTTTTATTTTTTTATTTCCTCCAACATGGCCAGTGTTGGGATGGGGGAAAAAACTGGAAAATTGAATTTAATTATCAATTTAAAAATTTTTAAAGCTTTTAGCATATGGAATATTATTTTCTATTTATTGTATATTATAAGTGTAATATAGATAAACAATAAAATATATTTATATAAAAATTATTGTAGAAATTTTGTGCAATATACATAAATTTATATATATTATAAAATATATAATTATGCAAATAAATATTGTATTATTTATTAACTTACACATTTATATATGTTATATATTTTAATTTACATTATAAATAATTATTATTGTTACTATTATTACACGTTAAAGGACACAAAATTAGATTTAAATGCATAAATTAAAAATATATTTGCTATTTTAAAATATATTTGACATAAATTAATATTCAACATGAAATAAAAGTATAAATGTATCTCATATATTGACATGTAAAAATGATATATAAATTTACATTCTTTATTAAATATATTAATGCATTAATTACTATAATATGGTGTATTATAATATATATTGTATTATAATATAGAATATTAAAGCTACATTACATTTACATTAAATTACATAATTATTTACATAAATATAAAAATAAATATGTCTATAATTATATTATATAATTATATATACCATAAACTATAATTTGCAATTTGTTGTATTATGAATAACACTTTTCATATTTCTTATAAAATATTTTATATTTTATAAGGATTATTATATTATATTTACATTAAATTATAAACATACAAATAAAGGAAAAATAAGATTTTTGGGGGGATATTTATTTCCTTTTTAAATCACCTTCACCTCCAAGCACTCAATGCCCTATAATGTCATTTACAGGTGATTTCTTGATGATTTAATGGTAATTAATCTGAATTTATTACTTAGTTAAATTAATTAATGACT